CAGCTGAGCCAGCCTCTCCCCAGGCATCCCAGAGCCACCTGCCCCCTCTGCAGTCAGCGGGTGTCCAGCCCCCAAGAGCAAAGGTATTCCCATCAACTCAGACCAAGCTTCCCCCTCCCCCATAACACACTTAATCCCCAACCACTAAATGAGCAGAGCTGATTTTCCTCCCCCTTTCCAGGTCCTTCCCAGCCTCTGTGGGGCTGGGAGCCTCCCTTGAGCCTGGCTGTGGAGAGCTGCTGCAGGTGGGAGCAGGGCGCAAGCTTTGCTAGGCTGGCTTTTCCTCCTAAGGCAACGGGACTCAATCAGTCCCTCGGGCCAGGCTGGGCTTGCACAAAGGAAGGGTCTTGCTGCCCCTTTCCCACCTCCAAGAAGAGCTGAGGGTCCCTGGCTGGGCAGCAGCAGCAAGGCAGGGTGCAGGCAGCTGCCCAGCCCTGCTCTGGGAGGGTGGGCACCCCCCACCCCTCTGCCCTGGGAAGGAACAGGCAGGCCCCTGCCTGCAGCACAGCCCTTGCCGTTTCACAGGGTCCCGGCAGTCATGCCGGGAAGTTTCTCAGCCCCCCCTGCCTGACCAGCACCCCTGGCTCACCCCCGGCTGCTGCGCCAACCCCGGCCACGCTGGCACAGCCTCCCCTGCTCCTGCTGACACAGCAGATTCTGCGCCTGGCCATGGCCCTTCCACACACCAGGTACGATAGGATCCACACGGAGACTTCAAAGAAGGGCTCAAAGGCTGCCCCAGCACCCATCCACAGGCCTGCACCCTTGGGTGCAGGAGGTGCAGCTTAGGCCAGAGTCCAGCTCAGCCACCCCCCAGCCTGGGGAAGGACATCAGGCACTGGGCACCCCCAAACCCCCCAGGCAGGAGCGGGGATATCCCAAACCTCCCTGGGGCAGGGCTCTGCTGGGTCACAGCTCAGCTCCACTGGCGGTGTCCCTGGCCCTGCTGGGGAGGCCATGCCCAAGCAGAGGTGGGAACAGACTGCAGGCAGGGTGGGCTCTGTGCCCATCAGGCCAGGGCTGGGCGCTGCCAGCAGAGAGGGGCTTCGGGCCTTCCTCCACCCCAGCCTCACGCCCCTGGGCCCACCAACAGCAGCTGCTGCTCCCTGCCAAGGGTGATCCACAGCAGCCATGAGCAAGATGGTAACTGGGCTCCAGCCTTGCTGCCCACCCTCCCGGCCAGAGGAGCTGGACAGGGCCCTGGACTGCAAGGCAAGGCCAGGAGCTGGCTCTGTGACCCACAAACCATCTCCTGGGGCATGTTTGGATGCTGAGGCAGGCAAGGCACAGGCAGAGTCCAGCCTGGCTAACTGCCCCTCCAGAGCTACTCAGGGCCACAGCAAAACAGCTCCTGACAGACCAGCCAGCTACGACCAAGGGACATGGCAGAAGTTTCTTCACAAGTAGAGACCTTCTTGCAGGTGCTGAACCCTTGCTGCTCGGTGCCAGGAGCCCAGGGACAAAAAGGGGACAGCAATCTGGACCTGGGGACTTCCCCGGCCACCCCAGGCCCTACACAGGCAGCTGCAGGCTCAGCAAGAGCAAGCGCACCAGTGCGCAATGACTGGGAAGCGGCAGGCACGCTGTGCCCAGAGGTGAGGGAAGGGCAGGGGAAAGCTGCTGCTGGTGGGCAAGACATGCACTTGGGGAGGGCAGGGGCCAGCAGCCACCCACTGCACAGGCAGAGGCCAGAGTGCCTGTGCCCAGGGCCCTGCTGCAGCTGCCCCATGACGGGGCTGAAAGCAGCTCAGGAGCATCCAGCACTGCTGCCCTCCTGCCACCGCTGCTCAGGTACAGAGCACGGCAGGGTCTGGCTAAAGCCAGGACAGGCAGTCTCCAGGAGGGATTCACTACAGGCATCCCCAGTGCTGCCCCACGCCCCCTCCCAGGCACTGCCTGCCCTGTCCCCGCTCCCAGCACACTGCTCGGAGCAAACCACCCATCAAACACACAGCGACCAAACCAGCTCCCGCCCCTCCCACCCAGTGCCACACACCCTTCCTGCCCACCGAGGCACAGACCAGCCAGCAGCGCAGAGCACCCCTGCAGCGCACAGAACTTCCAGGAACACAGAGATCTCTGAAGAAAATCCTCAAAGGCTGGGCCAAACATCCACACGAGGTGGTGCTCAGGCAGGCCAAACCCTTGTTTTACTACAGAGCACTGAGGCTGTGTGCTAAACTGGTAGAGCAAGAGCTGCACTGGTTTCCACTGGGAGCCCAGACCGCAGCAGTTCAGACACCCGAGTCCCTGCAGGAGATCTTCTTGTACCCCGCAGACTGAACGTCCACCCAAACCTCTTTTCAGGGAAGGTCTCTCTGACACCAGGGAAGAGGGTTCCCGTCAGACACCTCATTTCCACTCAGACAAAGGTCCCTTTTGGGGGAGGGCTTTTCCCCTTCTGCTTTTTGCCCCCTCCTCGCTCCGTGACCTGCCTGAAGTGCAGCACAAGAGGGGGATGCCCTGCTTGGGGCTGGCTCTGTGTTCACTGCTCCTGGAGGTGAGGAGGGTTAGAGGCCCGTGAGATCAACGATGGCTTTAATAAAGATGGCATCATCACGCACGTAGGAGTTCTTGGCTTCCATCACGGAGACGGGGCAGAACAGCGGGCAGCCGCTGGCAATGTTCATTTCTGTGATGGGTCGCTGGAAGGAGGAGGACGTCACGTCGGGTCGGAAGGCATCGATGATGTGCTCCCGGTTGTTCTGATCCAGGAGCATCAGGGTTACCTGGGGGAAACGTGAAAATATACAAGAGCAGCTGAATAAAAAGCCCATGGAAACCCAGCCTGGTGACCTCGACACTTGAGGCCTGTGAAACGTGCAAGTACCAATGGAACCACAGCCACATCACGCGCCTACAAATCTGAGAAATGTCTGTAAGTAGGGTCAGGGGAGAATGTCATCTCGCTGACATTCTGCAGAAACCTTCCCACATCCTGCCCTGTCACTGGAAACTTCTGTGCCGCAGCGCAGGGCTGTCAGACTGACTCTGAAAACCTACAACCAGCCAACGTGGCAGTCGCTCCCAACACCAATACCCCACGCAGGCACTGCGTTGAGTTGCAGGGTTGCTGTCCCCTTGCAAAAGACGGTGGCCCCTCTCTCTGCATCACTACTTCGCTCACCCAGCCTTGAAGCATTTCGCAAACCTGCAGCACCCAGGAACTGCAATCTGAGCTCCTGACACCAAGCGAGCATCAGCTGCAGGGTGCCGAGGCCACAATCTTCCCTCCCCATGACTTCGCGCAGAGGGTCTGCTCGCTTTCCAAACGCCCTGCTGCTCTCCTGCCACAGCCTCTGCTGTTCCATGCCCCTGCCCTGCAGCATGCCCGGTGCTTTCAGCGTGACTGGGGAATCCCCAGGGCGGCTGACATATCAGTCCTTCCTTCTCCTGCTTGCTAAGTAGGCCAGACTGACAGTGCCTAGAAGCTCAAGCGGGTGTAAAACCAGAGAGGCGCATTGCTGAGCACAGTGCCTTCGTCCCACACCTACCTTCTGGTTGAAGGGCCACCGCAGAAGCGCGTCATTGGGTCCTTTCATCACCACAAAGAAGAGGGACAGATGGGTCCCACGCCCGGTGCCATCCCCATTCAGGTAAACACGCAGACACATCTTATAGCCGTACTTGCTTGTGTAGAAAGCTATCAAAGAGTGGCAAAGTAGACACAGTGAGCATCAAACCCATCAAAGCCTGGCATCCACAGGTTCCTCTGAACTCTGAGGACTCTAACGTTTGGATCCTGGAAGAAGCCAGGTCTGGGTCTTAAAATACCTGTACCACAGAGGCGGTGCAGAAAGGCACCAGGTACAGCAGCCAGAAGCTATTTTAGACTGGCCTGGAGACAGCCCAAGGTCAGGCGGTCCCGAGTCCCTGGTCCAGCCCAGAGCTGGAGCCGGGCACTTCCCACTGCATCCCCCCGCAGACCGATGGGCTGTGCCGCATGGGACTGCTGAAGGAGCTGCAGTTCATGGCAAGAACACTGGTGAGCAGGAGTAAAACCACCCAAGAAAAAACCTGACTGAGGATAGAGCATCCTCAGTGATCACTGCACCCTCTCTCTAAGCTGCCTGCCTCCAGCAGGGGCAGAGGCTCAGGCAAGAGAGCTTTGGTCTCCCGTTAGGATCCCAGCTGCTCCACATGGCGTGGGCACGGCTGGGTGCGGGCTCTGGGATCTCAGGCTCTCTCCTTCCCTCAGTTCTGGGAACGCCCGTGTTGTGATACCAGACCCATGCACGGC